CTGTACGGTAATTAAAGGATTAGCATTTATTATAGTAATAGTTGAACAAATAATTGTGTTTCTGCTGTCAAATACTAATTGTTTGTTGCCATAAAATATTAATGTCCTGCATTGTAATCAGGCAACTTAAATTACAAAAAGTTTGGATCATTGGTCATTTATGGTATATGTTAGAAAATATATCAAGCTAAAGCCTGTTAATACATCTAAGGAATCATCTTAGCCTCTGTGAATCTTTTAACACTTTAATAATACTGAATAAAAACAAACAAAAACCTTAACTTTCACTTCTTGGATTAGCTAATCAAGTGTTATAATTTATTCTGTTTTTGCAGGACTTATTTTAAATCAGCTTAAGTTTATCATAGCATATGGAAATGGCTATTTTTATTTGCTAATACTGTAAACTCTTTCTTTCAGCTACCTCAAAATGTCTCCTTTCATCTTATAACCATGTATGTCTAGGGTTTCTAGCTTATTTTTTAAATTCAAATGTACATTATAACTCATAATGTGATTGTCCCATTTTTACGTTCACATAATTATTTCAATAACTTAGAATCGACTTGACAAATAGATATTACAGAGTAACATAAACGTCTGCTACTTCCTAGCTCCCACTGTTGTGAGTCCACACAAGGGCTATTGCTATCTTGAAGTCTAGGCATGGTCACCTTGCAGACCCAAAATCTAACTTATTGTTAAAGTAGGCATGGCTACAAAAATGAAACTCAAGAAACTAACTGAAAGTCATTTCTGAAAATAAAGCCTGAGAAACATCTTTCCATTGATTATCTGCAAATGCTTGGCCTTACAGGGGCAGGGCCTTTATTCAGCTGTCATTGATTGAGTGTTGGGGTGCATGTTGTTTTGGGTGGAAAAGCTTTCACAGTCTAAGGAACACTTTTTCTGAATCTATTGTGATCTACGTGCTGTCTGGCAATAGGTTATATTCCAACTTTCACATACTAATGTGCCCCTGTGTAAGGCCCATAATCTATTGGGTATTGTGCTTTAACGTATTTTCTTTGGTGAATGTTAGTAATGCGTCATATTTCAAAATAATCAGCTCTAAAAGCTGATGCTCTGTAGCAACTTCCACCATTTTTTTCCCCTTCACTTTTCATTTCTCAGTTAGTGGCTCCACCCTGCTCATGACTGAACTTTATTTTGACTGACAGCTTGGCGGCCTTGTGGACAATCACACATGAAGATATTGGATCATACCATTTTGCGAAAAAAAAAGGACAGATGTGACGTCCAGCTGGAGTTTGCTTCTGGATTTGCTTCTTGTCTATGAACAATAGCTAATTGTTTTGTGTTTAATAGTAGGCAAAAAATTGAATATAGATCATTGTTAACCATACATATATATATACAAGGTAACCTATTATATGTAATCTACGTTTTGTTTTGTAAAGATTTAGAAGGTTTTTTGAAATCTTTTTTCCCTTTAGCAGCACTTTAAGGAAGTTCAGAAATAACTTTTTATCTCTAGTTACGGATACAAAATTATGTAGATCATGGTGTTTTTGTGGACAAACCTCTTTTCACTTATCGTAAAAGTGGTGCAGTGGATAGCACTGTTGATTAGCAGCAAGAATGTTCGGGGTTCGATTTCATGGGGTCTTTCTGCATGGAGTTTGCATGTTCTCCCTGTACATGGGTGGGTTCTCTCAAGGTACTCCAGCTTCCTTCCAAAGTCCAAAAACATGACTGATGGTTAATTGGCAACTCTAAATTGTCCTTAGGTATGTCCTTAGGTAGGACTGTTTGTGCATTGTTGTGTGTCTTTGTGTTTCTCAATGTTGCCCTCCGATGGGCTGGCGACCTGTCCAGGGTTTACCTCATCTCCCCCCCGATAGACTGCCAGAGATAGGCACCGGCCCCACTTTGACCCTTGACAGGAATAAACAGAAGAAAATGGATGGATAGATAGATTTCCTTATCATTATGACAACACTTTTAAGCTAAATTCCTGAGAATTAAAAAAATTGTCAATTGAATGTATAATTAGGCACATGTTGTAAATCTCCAGTAGGATACTTGCTGCTGGCCATTATGCATACTGGAAAGAATGAAGTTTTCTACCATAAGACTGGAATTATGTTTTTCCTACATTCACAAGATTTTTAAAATAGATTTTTAAATCCAAGTGGCACCCTGATGCTTATAATCTGAATACCTGTCACCGACTGAATAAAGATAAAATCCAACATACCAGGCATCCATAACTGAAACCACTAGTGCCAGTCGAACACCTGCATGCTTAACATATTGTGTTTCAGAGAACTTATTTTCAAATCCCAGATAGTGTTAAGGATTAAAATATGACACGGGTATTTGTAAACATTCTTTGTTTGCTTCTTTCACTTTTGATTATATAACTGGATGCTCCAGTGGTCTTAAGTATGTGTATGTATCAGATTATTTTTTTCCTTAAACCAAGAATAAAATTAATTGGATAAATGTTGATTACTCTGAATTTAGAAAATCTCATATCTCTCCTGGATCTTAACCAATCGTATAAATTCTAGTAAAAACAAAGATCAAATTTACAAAGTTTAGGTTAGAAAGGAACAGAGATGGGAAGTAACGAAGTGCAAATACTTCGTTACTGTACTCAAGTAGATTTTTCTGATATTTTTACTTTACTACTTATCTTTATGGCGACTTTTTACTTCTACTTCTTACATTTTTACACAAATATCTGTACTTTCTACTCCTTACATTTTAAAAATGTAGCTTGTTACTTTAGTTTTGAATCATTTCAATGGAGTTACCGTTATTATTTTTCATGTCATCAATACCAAATCCAATCTAATTGGATGGGAATCATCTTGTAGCGGTGCATTTGACGCACCACTACAAGATGAATCGACAGATTCGGCGGTATTCATTCGCGGCAAATCATTGCAGCTTGGTGGCGGTGGCGTTAGCATAGTAGTATGGACGACGAGATGATTGAAAATGAACACAACGGAGATCTAGTCCTATTGGCAGACATCCATTTAAAATGTAGGCAACGGCATGAAAAAAGTGGTTTCTACTTTTACTTTTATACTTTAGGTAAATTTACAAGCCTGTACTTTGTTACTTTTACTTGAGTAAAGAAGTTTAATCAGTACTTCCACTTTTACCAGAGTATTGTTTAACACAAGTACCTGTACTTTTACTCCAGTATGGAAAGTGAGTACTTTTGCCATCTCTGGAAAGGACTAATGGTTTTCTGCTTTCACAATGGGTTGCTGGAGTCCAACATGCTCTAGGAACAGATCCAATTAAATGCCAAAAATGTGGAACAAGCTCTTGCTCCACTTGTAAAGTGATCTGAGGGCTCCCAATATAGCCTTTGACTCTGTCCCCCAATATGGCATGTGGCACTGCCACCTACACAGCACCTCGACGGACAATTTTTAAAGATTGAGCCATTGCATATGGCTCAATGCTCTCTTCTTTGCTCTTTATAAAAGCAAACATCAATTAGCCAGGATGAAAGCCAAATAGGACTGAGAATTGTGTTCATAGTCAAACGTATATCAGTCCTCATTTCCTGCTTAAGCCTCCCTCCTCTGGTTGGTCATTAAAGCATTTACCTTTATTATAGTATGTTGAAAAAAAAAGATTGTATTTCTGCCGTGAGATACTATGTTGTCAAGGAGGAGATGATCTTCGTCAAGGCTTTTCTGGACTCGGCAGGAGGGAGCCAGCAGAACCATGTCATCCACAAAAGGTACAAAAAATCTGCTGGTCTCCAAACTCCCTCCGGCCCTCCGCTAGGCTTATAAACCTGTTCATAAAGATTACAGTATGAACACGACCAGTGATAGAGGCTAGCCCTATTGGTCTGTCATGCTCCGGTAACAGGTCAGACTAAATGGCAGCAATGTGAATCAAACTCCTGCTCAGTCTGTACCTCCACTGGATGGGCTACAATGAAGGCCCATATTTCATCAACATTTAAAGCAAACAAAGTTGCTGTTTGAAGCTTGGTAATATTTATAGTGGTGTTTGTTTAGGTTTAGAACTCAGGGTTTGTGTAGGGAATGGGTTAGTTTTAGTTTCCCAGGTTGTGGTTCATATAAAATATTCCTGCGACAACCTGTCATGCACCTTGAGTGACAATAAAAGATGATTGGGTAGCCTGGTTGTGTCATTATCTGCATTGAAATACACCATTGACAAGAAGAAACTAAAATTGATTAGCATTTCAAACTGGTTTAAATGTCAAAAAGGTGGGTATTATGACCAGATATGAAAATGAAGAGGCTTTCCTAATATAGCTACTACGTACGCTGACACATTTGCTTTACATTTTGCTTTATGCTGAATTGTATCATTGTGAAATTTCCCTTTTTTTTTAATTAGTTACTATTTTTTTTTCATGATCACTTAACCAGCAGTTCATATCTGGCTGACCTCTGTTCACTTCATGACCAGAGGTCAGCCAGGCTCTTCTATTCAACATGGGATAAATTAAGCAGTTTGATGACTCATGCCAGCTTTTAATGCATACATTGTGAAGTATTCATCACCTGTTTTACTGAAAATACCTGTTTAACCCTTTCCTGTCAACTGCAAGATACTAAGTCAGTGAAGAACCAACCACCAAAGCAGAGACAGGAGTCACTTTGAAGAAAAGTTGTTTCTTGTTGTTAGATCATAAAAAAATAATTATAAGGACGATACCTGACTGCTTTTCTTTCTGAAACAGCTCAAATACCTTGAAAGACAGTTTTACTTGTTGCACAGTTTCTTTTTTTTTGCAGGGGCAAGTTAGGACAAGTCAGACACACAACAGTATTGAAGGCCCTCTGCTGTTGTACAAATGTGTAATGTGTATACATAATAATGTGGGTATTAGTTATGACTACAAGTGTATTATGAGGAGATGAACAAGTTGATACAAACATGTCTAAAGGACTTGACTGGTTTTCCTCTCTTACTCCTAATTTATTTTTAATACATTTTAATCCATCTCATTTTCTTTATTCTTACAGGTCTGCGGTTAGACAACGAGGTACCGAAATGGCTACATCAAGAGGAACTTTCTTTATTTTAGTAATATTTTTCCTTTTTGCACAGTGTCATGGAGTAAGGGATAAAGGAAAAGACACCTCCCCGTTAAGCTTCACACACCATCTTTACAATGCCACCATTAAAGAAAATTCTGCTCCGAGGATGTACGTTGAGATGCCTGTGAAGATGGGTATTCAGCTGACAGATCCACTTTGGGACATTAAATATAAGATTGTTGCAGGTGACGATGATGATCTGTTCCAAGCAGAGGCTCTCTCGGTTGGGGACTTCTCTTTCCTGAGGATCAAAACTCGCAGCAGTAACTCAGCTCTGCTAAACAGAGAGGTCAGAGATAGCTACACTCTCACTGTGGAAGCAACAGAAAGCACTTTTGATTTTCAAGCAAAGACAAAGGTGTTTGTCCAAGTGCTCGACACTAATGACTTAAAGCCTCTGTTCTATCCGGCATCATACAATGTGAACATCAGTGAGGACACTCCGCTCAAGTCGAATGTGGTCAAAGTCAGTGCTACAGATGCCGACATTGGGAGCAATGCTGAGTTTTTTTACTCCTTTACGAGCCGATCTCATCCATTTTCTGTCGACCCCTTCACCGGCACAGTCACCCTCATTAAGAAACTTAACCACACAAGGATGCAGAAATATGACCTCACAGTATTAGCAGAAGACAGAATGAAAAAGATATCAGGCATTAAAAAATATGGAAATACGGCTCGTGTTACAGTTAACATACAAAAAGGGACTAAGGAGTCGCTATTAATCACACCTCCTAAACCTAAAGTCTCTGTAGATGGAAATGTAGATATCAGCATCCGTGTGGAAGCAGGAGTCAAGCCTGTGAAATCCCTTGATATTGTTACCGGGGATCCCCAACAGTGTTTCGAGATAGTTCCTTCTGGTGTGCAAAACACCAACTTCGAACTGATTTCGACAAAGAAGATTGTCTGGTCTCAAAGTCCTTTTGGGCTAAACCTGTCTCTTCAAGCCACAGATATGAGCTCTCCAAGCCTCCTTTCTCCAATTACAAAAGTACATATTCCTGCTGATCATTACAGGCCTTTACGTTTTGTAGAGGACACCTACATCATCACCTTAAGTGAGTTCTCCCCTCCTAAAACTCATGTTATAAAAGTCTCTGTCACCTCATCCCCTCAAAATGTTACATTTGGCATTAAAGATAATCTAGACAGCTTGAACTTTAAAATAAATTCTAGAACTGGGATTATAATAACAGCAGAAAAATTTGACTATGAAAAAAAAAATCGATACGAATTTGATGTGGTCGCAAATCATGGTGAAGCACAGACTCATATTGTGGTCAAGATAACTGATGAAAATGATAACAGCCCTCAGTTTAAACAAACATCTTATCAAGCTACAGTGGATGAAAACCTGCCTGTTGGCAGCAGTGTTCTTAAAGTTGCTGCTTTAGACATCGATGAAGGCAAAAATGGCTTTGTTACCTTCTCCATTGCTAATTCAGGTCCTGTACCTTTCACCATAGATTCATTTACAGGCATTATCTCAACCTCTGATCACCTGGATTATGAGCTGATGAAGCGACGGTATCACTTGAGAGTCTGGGCATCTGACAGTGGTAGCCCCTTTAGTCAAGTCACTGAATGCCCAGTAACAATAACCCTAATCAACTTGAATGACAACATTCCTCTATTTGAGAGAGTTGGCTGCAACATCACCATACCACTTGATTTAACAGTGGGAAGCACACTTGCCGAGGTTTCAGCCATTGATTTAGATGAGCTGCAACAGCTCCAGTACATTATAGAGTCAGGGAATGAGCCCCAAATCTTTGATATTGATCCAGTGTCTGGAGCAATCATTCTTAAAAAGCAAATCCCACCACAGGATGTCTCATTCACTCTCAGAGTCATTGCTACAGATGGCAAGCATCACTCTGAAGCATCAGTTGTAAGAATAACCATCACAAACAAAGGCGACAATTCAACTCTGAGCTGCTTTGAAACAGGTATCTTTAAACAGATGACTGATAAACTAATAGAGACAATAAAGCCAGTTTTAATCAACCAGGAGGAGGAGTCTTTCTCTGATATCCACATCACTAATAGACATTCTCCCAAAATTCTTACAAGCATTCCCAGTTCTATTAATGTTCCTGAGAACCATCCACTTAATTCCACAATTCTTCAGTTTAAGGCCACAGACAAAGACTCTGGCTTTAACAGTAAGCTGGTGTATGCAATATCAACAGGGAATGAAGATGGCTGTTTCGCTATTGACATGTTTTCTGGGGACCTCAGGTTAGTTTGCCCCTTGGACAGAGAAACTAAAGAGTTCTACATTCTGAACCTCACAGTTTATGACTTGGGAACACCACCAACATCTGCATGGAAGCTACTAGCCGTTGACGTCACGGATGTCAATGACAACCCTCCTGTTTTTGATCAGCCCAGGTATGTGATTCGTATACCTGAGAATACTGAGGAAGACTCTGTTATCTTCACAGCTCGAGCAGTAGACATTGATTCTGATTTGAATGGAAATATCCTATACTCCTTTCTGACATTCACTGACATGTTCAAAATTGATGAGCTGACCGGGGAGGTGACTGTGACCGCTCCTTTGGATCGAGAACAATCTACCAGACATGACCTCTGGATCAAAGCCACAGATCAAGCCAGACTCGGTCCAAACTTGTTTTCCACCATGAACCTTGTTGTAATTTTGGAGGACATAAATGACAATCCACCTAAATTTATACCAGAAAGCTATCATATAAAAGTTGCAGAGGACGTTCCTGTAGGTACTCTACTCGTTTGGGTGGAAAGCGTGGACCTAGATATAGGTAGTGGAGGTCTTGTGACATACAACCTTAAGAATACAGAAGGAGGGATTTTCCATCTCGATTCCTCAACTGGAGCTTTGACCCTTGAACGCGAGCTGGACTTTGAGAGAAGACCAGCTTATAATCTTACAGTTCGAGCCGTAGACCATGGCCTTCCTCGCTCCTTGTCATCTTCCTGCTTTGTGGAGATTGAGGTTCTTGATGTCAACGAAAACCTCCACAAGCCAGTATTCACAGAGTTTGTGTATGAAGCTGCAGTGATGGAGGATGTAGCAGTGGGGACATCCGTGGTGAAGGTTTCAGCTTCAGACAAAGATGTGGGTCGGGACGGAGTGCTGAGGTACCATATCAGTGATGGCTCGGGGCTTGGAGTTTTCTCTATCGATGAAGAAACAGGTAAATAAAATTTTGATTTTTCCACTATTTCAATTAAGCGCACAAGTTAAAGTTCACTTTATAATGAGTTTGAACCTAAATATGATAGAATATATCCAGAAGTAAACTATGAAGAGGCTTTTGTTCTTGCAATGTCAATTTTAGTATTTTATTTATTTATTTATTTTTTTATTTTTTTATTTTTTTTAGTATTATTTTTAATGTTTGAACTATGCATGCTGTACAAAAAGGTCAGCAATTCTATGTTGAAATGGCTTCTTTTGCAAGAAATTGCATGTCAGTTTAACTAAATCGTGTAATATTTAAATCTAAATCCTACAATTTGATGCCAGGGTGCATAATAAATAGTTTCCAGAAGAAAAAACATACTTACTAAGCAAGACTAACTCAAACTACATTTGTGTGAAAAGAAGAATATATTAGATTTTAGCTTGTAAAATAAAGAAAGATTATAAAAAAATCTACTAATGGATAGGCTTTTTTCTATATTTTCAAAAGAGCAATGATAATTACCTTTATCTATACAATCTGTAAATTAACATTTATTATTAATGTTTACTAACTTCCTTATTTTTTATGTGAAGTATCAGGATTTTTGCTGTTATCTATTATTTTCCATGCCAGTTGCTCATTTGGCAGCTGTGTTTATTTGGTACACAATACAACTGTGTCATGTTCATACATTGATGGTAGATGGATAGTTTGTATTGCTAGTAAATTGTGTCTTTATAATTACAGCTATTATTGGTAGATTTTCTTTGTAGTGAGAATTGGATTAATAATTAACATATATTTTAGCATAATGTAAACAAAATGCCTTTTATTATCCCACAATGGGGAAATTCACTCTCTGCATTTAACCCATCCCCTTAGGGAGCAGTGGGCTGTTACTGTGTGGTGCCTGGGGAGCAGTGTGTGATGAAGGGACTTGCTTAGGGACCCAATGTGCAGGCTCTGGTGATCGAACATGGTACTTGAAACCTTCTCGGAGCAAAAGCACACGGCTCTAACCATTAGGCCAACACTCCCCCATAATATAACCTAGTGTTTTCTATTAAATTGATTTAATTGAGTTAATTAGCTGAATAAGACTTATCTGGTAAAATGAAGGAAAATCTAAATATAATTCAGTTAGTTATGTTGACATACTTTTCAGTCAATATACAGAAGAAGCAAAGGTTCTTCATAAATATTTTTTTCATATTTTATTCTTGCCTGTTGCATCACCTATGCTTGGGCTGTCTAAATAACTGACACCAAACATCTTAAATTTATTCTGTGATGTACAATACTCATTTAGGAGTTTAATATACTCATATATAAAAAAGAAACTTTGTTTGTCAGGAAGTTTGTCAGGAAGTCAGGAATTAGGGTAAGTCTTTCAGGGAGTAAACTTGCCCCCATGGTGATTCCAGGGAAATGTTAGTGAAATGTTAACACTTGTTTGTCCACTTGCATGTCATGTTTTCTTTTTACCCCTTAAAAAAAATAAACCAGCAGATTCCACAAATCAGTTTAAGGTGTGAAATTATGTGACAGTTCAACTACAACGCAAGTTTGAGGTAGCATGTTTAGACAAAGTTCAAAGGATGACATTGAGATCTTGATGGTAATTTAAATGGAGCTTGCAGAGAGGATGTTTCTATGGCAGTTGATTTAAATGGGGAAACTCTGACATGTTTCCCAGCCTTATGTGCCAACTAAGTCAAAGTTCAGAAGTAGGTATAACCACGTCAAAAAAATACCATTTAAAGATCATTGTAAGTAAGATTTCTGTCTTTAGCTCTTATGGTGGTAAAACTCAAAGGATTTTGACATCAGTATATTTCCTCATGTCGTTTCTTAGTTATGATAAGCTCAGACATGTCCATTGTACAGCGCAGTATTTCCTCTGGGGTCCCTCAGGTATTTTTCCATCAGTGTGTTCGCATGTAAAGGATACCTGGTGACCCCGCATCATATCGGCCCTGCATTCCATTAACCTGCTGCTGCACTTATGGTTCAGATAAAATCAGGGTAAATGGAGTTCTCTGTCATGGTGGGACAACAATGAATTATTACCCGATTTTTTTTTTTCTTTTTACTATTTTTTTTTTTAAATCTTCTCTTGATTAAAGTGTGTTTAAACTGCTTCTGAAGGGAAATATGTGCTGTACACGGTTCATCTTAAGATTTTTTTTGACAGGCTGACACATGAAATTAGTGATTTTTTTCATTTATTTTTTAAAATATTTGCCTACTTATGGAGATGGAGGTCAAAATGCCAATATTCGCTTTCTCTCAAGGACAATTATTTATCATTAACTAGATTATAATGTACTGAACCCTTTTTATGTTCCTTAGGAGTGATTCGTACAGCTGAAAACCTGGACCGAGAGATGGTGCAGCATTACTGGCTCTCTGTCTACGCCACAGATCTGGGAACTGAGCCTCTAATTTCCTGGGCTCATGTCTTCCTGGAGGTCATGGATGTTAACGACAACGCTCCAGAGCTTTCCCACCCAGTATATTTCACATCAGTCCAGGAGAACATAGATAAAGTGACCAATATAACCCAGGTGTTGGCTACGGATGCAGACTCTTCCTCCGAGGAGAAGCTTTCCTACCTGATCCTGGAATCTCACCGGACGTATTTCGATGTGGATCCAAAAACAGGTATTGCAACAAAGTCTGCTTAGTACAAAGACCACCAAGGGGAGATTTATTATTAAGTTAGCGTGGTGATGTCAGCTGGGTTGATTTAATTAAGTCTCTCTATAGAAGTATTACAATCTGGTCTTAAAGGGAAGTGTTTAACTTTCATGATACACTTTAAATCTGTTCATCTCAGTCATTAACTTTATATAAAAGACAGTGACCAGAAACAAATCAGACGTTAAAAAACACAATTCAGAATGCAAAAATGATTCCAGGATCATATAGAATTAATGTTTTCTTTAAACATGTATTTTATTTAACTTTTTTTTTTTTTTACCAGGAAAGATATATATTGAGATTTATAATTTCTTTTACAAGGATGTCCTGGCCAAGAAGTATAAAAAAAGAAAATGTGGTCCAAATATAAGCAACAGTTGTTTTTTGTATGACCTTAACAATGTCGCCTATCTTTGTGGAATAATTTTTGCCTTTTCCTTATCACACCTTAGCTTCTCCTGATTTAGTTTTGCAAGCATTTCTCTTCTTCTGATATCTTTTAAGGTTTCCCAACCGCATTTTATTCAGTGAAAGATCTAGAGTTTATATTGGCTATTCCAGTTATTCTACTGTAGATCCTTGTCATTATGTATATGGATCAGTTGATGATCCGGTTTGAAAAAAAGATTTGGTCGTTGAACAGATGGTTCAATTGTTAACTCTATAATGATTTGGGATAGAGACAACTTTGTGATCAACTCCATTGTATCAATTTCCTATAGCCGAAAGGCCATATTTTCTACCCTTCATGACCTGGACTGATGGGTTAAAAAATGTGTATCGCTAAACTTGTGTCTTTTGTTGTCCGAAGGAGACTGTTTCTTAAATTATTTGACTTATTCAATGTGTTGCAAACCTATGTCACTTTGGCATATTCTGTGTAGAGGGAAGAGGTTTGCTTATTCATCCATTTAGACAAGCCATACTCATTCTCATTTTTACTTCTTCATGTCAAACCTTATGTTAACTAAAGCCTTTATAATTTAAAATTGAATTTTTATTTTTTTTGTTGTGCAATTTATTTGAATTTTCCATGTGGGTTGAATTTGCTTAGAAAAAACAGCCCTGACTGATTTCATTCGAAAGAAACCACTTTTGATCAATAGCAGCTAGCTGTTATATCTATGATAACAGTGAGGTTGTATTTGGTAACTTATACATTATTTTTCTATTTGTTTTATTTTGCTTGATAAATAATGTTAGGATAGAATCCGTTGTGTATTTTTGTTTACTAATTCTATTGTGTCGCGACATGTAAACTCTAGTGTTTATAAAGTGTTTTTCTGAAGCTAATTTACTACATACTCGTTCACAGGAACTGTGGCCCCAGGTTAATGAATCAGTTTTAAGTGAGTTGTGTATCCATTATAAATACTTCTTAAACAGAAATATAGGTCTCTTGCACTTTTGAATTATTTCCACCTTTATTAAAACTCACGTTGTGCTTAGAGAATGTCTGGATAACATTTCTCTCTTCTGCTTACTGTTTGGTACATCCCTAAGGCCGGTTTTACCTTTTGATCCTGGGATAACAGTGCAGCTGTAAAGACTGACAGCAGTTTGATTTTGCACAAGAACGGTTGCTGGAAGCTTCTGTTTGTACAAGTTTGAGGAGTGCATGGAAGGCGTGTCAGAGGGAGAACCAAAAGCTGAAATCAAAACTAGCAAGCAAGTATACTAGAAGTTCCTTTTCGAAACGTCCTCTGGAATATTGATATAATGTTGATAAAGAAGTAGTTTTCTAATGAAGTGGCTGTCAAACCTCAGGATCTACACACACTGTCGACAGAGAGAAGTTTCATGATCAGGCAAAAGAGAGTTCCATGAGCCCTGACATTACAAGCCCCTTCAAGTCCTGTCCTGTCCTTCTCCCATTATCTGTTGTGCTGTTTGTCCACACCCTAAGGCTAATATACTGAGGGATTACAGAAAAGAGAGGGCCAGTTGTGTTAAGAGGAAAACAGACTGAACCTGTAGGTGTTGAAACAGTCCCACTGTGTTATACGAGGAGAGACCTTTTTTGTCTAAACGCAGCTGTATTTGAGATACATTTACTCATGAACATGAGAGCAGAATAGAGTGTTTTTGGTTGAAAGTATTCATTGTGTTTCTATGTATCTTTGTATGCCCTGGATTTCCTAATGTCATGTCTTTGCTGAGCTCATATAATTGGATCTGACCCAACATCTCTGCAGAAAAGCCACTTAACTTTTAGTCCAGTTTCTGTGTAGAGGTCTTGCAACCATACTCCAAAGTAGACCCAAGCCAAGGGGAACCGGTGGTAAAAGGGCTTTTGTCTAACAAGAATGCTAATTTTGTCCACCTGTCTGCCATTGCTTATAATGTGTCATAAAATAGTGCTGGCTTTCCTGATCATTAACTAGATATATTATCTAGGCTCAATGGAGGATAACAGGAAGTTGTTGCTCCAAAATACTACACCACAAAAGATGGCTGATGCCACTGCAGAGTAAAAATTAGTCATTAGGAGTGCCCTCTCCAAATTTAAAGATCCCAGACACCTCAAAAGGTAGATTCAGCTCTGACCCTTTCTGTGGATCCTTGTTGTTACTCTAATATGGGTTTATTGTTTAGGTGAACATCTGGATCTGCAACCATTTGTACCTAGATCTTTCCTTGCTTGTTTCTCCCCTAAAGTGTTGATATAGACAGGAAACGGTGAGGAAGCGGGGCTTTGATTTGGAATCCTCTGAAGTAAAGAGGGTGGTTGAGGGCCTAGAGCTAAGAGGTGTAAAACCGTGGTAAGAAGAATGGGGGTATGGGTGACTCGATTTGATAGGGGAGGTTTCAGTGTTAAATCAGCTTGTTGAAGAATAAATACTTCCTGGAAGCAGCTTTTCACTTTATTGATTGCATAAAAGAGAACCACAGCACCACCGTATTTTGTTGGGGTTCAGCTATGTAAAAAACTATGCCATTACATATATGTATATACATATATATGCGTATATATATATATATATATATATATATATATATATATATATATATATATATATATATATATATATATATATATATATATACAGGTGCTGGTCATAAAATTAGAATATCATGAAAAAGTAGATTGATTTCAGTAATTCCATTTAAAAAGTGAAACTTGTATATTATATTCATACATTACATACAAACTCATATATTTCAGATGTTTATTTTGTTTAATTTTGATGATTACAAATGACAACAAATGAAAATCTCAAATTCATCATATCAGAAAATTAGAATATTGTGAAAAGGTTCAAAATTGATGGCCCCTGGTGCCACACTCTAATCAGCTAATTAACTCAAACCACCTGCAAAAGCCTTTAAATGGTCTTTCAGTCTAGTTCTATAGGCTACACAATCATGGGGAAGACTGCTGACTTGACAGTTGTCCAAAAGACGACCATCGACACCTTGCACAAGGAGGGCAAGACACAAAAGGTCATCGCTAAAGAGGCTGGCTGTTCACAGAGCTCAGTGTCCAAGCACATTAATAGAGAGGCGAAGGGAAGGAAAAGATGTGGTCGAAAAAAGTGTACAAGCAAGAGAGATAACCGCACCCTGGAGAGGATTGTGAAACAAAACCCATTCAAAAATGTGGGGGAGATTCACAAAGAGTGGACTGCAGCTGGAGTGAGTGCTTCAAGAACCACCACACACAGACGTATGAAAGACATGGGTTTCTGCTGTCGCATTCCTTGTGTCAAGCCACTCTTGAACCACAGACAGCGTCAGAAGCGTCTTGCCTGGGCTAAAGAGAAACAGGACTGGACTGCTGGTGAGTGGTCCAAAGTCATGTTCTCTGATGAAAGTAAATTTTGCATTTCCTTTGGAAATCAAGGTCCCAGAGTCTGGAGGAAAAGAAGAGAGGCACTTCATCCACGTTGCTTGAAGTCCAGTGTAAAGTTTCCACAGTCAGTGATGGTTTGGGGTGCCATGTCATCTGCTGGTGTTGGTCCATTGTGTTTTCTGAGGTCCAGGGTCAACGCAGCCACATACCAGGAAGTTTTAGAGCACTTCATGCTTCCTGCAGCTGACCAACTTTTTGGAGATGCAGATTTAATTTTCCAAGAGGACTTGGCACCTGCACACAGTGCCAAAGCTACCAGTACCTGGTTGAAGGACCATGGTATCCCTGTTCTTAATTGGCCAGCAAACTCTCCTGACCTTAACCCCATAGAAAATCTATGGGGTATTGTGAAGAAGAAGATGCAATACACCAGACCCAACAATTCAGAAGAGCTAAAAGCCACTATTAGAGCAACCTGGGCTATCATAACACCTGAGCAGTGCCACAGACTGATCGACTCCATGCCACGCCGCATTGCTGCAGTAATACAGGCCAAAGGAGGCCCAACTAAATACTGAGTGCTGTACATGCTCATACTTTTCATGTTCATACTTTTCAGTTGGCCAACATTTCTATAAATCCTCTGTTTTTATTGGTCTTCAGTAATATTCTAATTTTCTGATATGATGAATTTGAGATTTTCATTTGTTGTCATTTGTAATCATCAAAATTAAACAAAATAAACATCTGAAATATATGAGTTTGTATGTAATGTATGAATATAATATACAAGTTTCACTTTTTAAATGGAATTACTGAAATCAATCTACTTTTTCATGATATTGTAATTTTATGACCAGCACCTGTATATATATATAACTGGAGACTACATACACATGCAAGGCTGAGATAAACAAATATCAGTTGCATGAAAATACAACACTGTTTACTTAACCTGATTTTGCATTTGTCCACTTTTTGTTGATATATTTACCACTTACAGCTATCTTTGCTTCATTTTAAGTTTGCATTACATGACCAATCCAGCACTTGATGAAAACATAGTTCATTAAAAAAACTAAATAAAAAACAAACATAAGCCACAACAATGCTTCTCGAAACACTTTTCCTACATAACATCACACATCATTACACCATAAATATAGGG